CCTAATTATGCACTTGAAAATCCTATATAGTAATGCTGGTGTAGAAGTATACACAAGATAGCATGTTATCAAGATATTGGGTTTATATGGGTTGAACCTAACACGAGAAATACTTCTCTGAATTGTTTACTCCATGGTGTTGGATATTGTTCAAATCAACAACGATGAGGTTTTAAAAATAATGGAAGTGGTCAACCATGAGAAAAACAAGAACAAAAAATAATAAAGGCCAAAAAAAGGTCTCGGTGGCACCTCCAGCCTCGTGTTGCAATTACAGTGGCCAATTTTTTGGACAGGGCGGGCGCCCGATTTTGTACTGGGCGGCGCAGTACAAAAATTTGCCTTTGGATTTTGAACTCTGATATTGTTTTGAAGGATTTTACACCATTTTGGCTTGATTTTTGTACATTTTCGTGCATGGTGCCCAGTACAAAAATTTGTGTTTGGGTTTTGAATTCTGGTGTCGTTTTGAAGGGTTTTACACCCTTTTGGATTGGTTTCTGTACATTTTCGTGCATGGTGATTTTAATTTTATATATATATATATATATATAGTTTTCATGATTGAAAAATATATCACAAATATCAAATTGATTTCATAACATCCAAAATCTAAGATCAAATCTAGTTTTTATAATTTTGTTCTTCAGTTCATTTTTCCAAGTTTTGTTTGCTTGATTCAAACTTGAATTAAGATTTGTTTATTCCTACAAACTATTTACTATAAAGCCTTCAAGTACATACCCTAGTGGCGGCAAATATCGTTTGAAGATAGTGATTATAATTGTGTTCAAACTTTCCATTTTTGTGATTTCTTGTTGCTGGTCTTATTTTTGCTCTTCATCAACTTTCTCAACAATCTCAAATGTTAGTTTCAACATGGAGAATGAAACAACCATGGTTACGATAAATATGATGAATCAAGACTTTGCAAGGCTAATGATTCGACGGGTCGAACTTTACAAGATGGAAGGACGAGTAGTTTCTTCTTACAGCTTTGAAGATCTTTTATATCTTAGATCAAAACTTGGCGCCATTGGCAGAACCAACCACAAATGACATCGATGAAACAAGGGTGGAAAGAAAGAAGAAGATGAATTGATATGTAGAATACACATTCTAAATGCTCTCTTCGATTGCCTCTATGATCTCTACACAAATAATACATCGACAAATGAGATATGGGAATCGTTGGAAACCAAATAAAAAGCCAAGGAGGAAGGTACCAAAAAGTTTCTTACATCTAACTATTTTGATTTCAAATTTTTGGATAACCTGTTATTGTTAGGACAAGTACATGAGTTATAAATTAATGTCAATAAAATGAAGGCTGTAAATATTGATCTTCTCGGAACCTTTCAAGTTGGTTCAATTATTGCGACATTGCCATCTTCATGGAAGAGCTATAGGAAGAAAATTATTCATAGTTCCCAGGATTATTCTTTGGAAGAAATTCAGAAACATCTTCACATTGGGGAAGGGTCAAGGGCACGAGATGTGAATGAACATTCTCAGGGTCACTTCCAAAGCCCATGCCTTGGATCAACCAAACAAAAACAATAAGGATTTCAAGAAAAGGAAATCCACAAACCCCAACAAAGATAAAAAGAGCAAGAAGAAATTCAAAGTTTCTTGTTATGTGTGTGGCAAACTCGGAGATTATGCTTTGGTTTGTAGACATCGCAAACAACCAATGCAAGAAGGCAAATTGAACTCCATTGACAACATCATTGCTACCATGAGCATTGTGAATTCGATCAAAGTAAAGGTTCAAGGATAGTGGTACAATACTTGTGCCACCATACATGTGTGCTATGATAGATCCATTTTCAAAATCTATCAAGAAGTGGATGACAAACACATTCAAGTGGGGGATGAAGTCCAATCAAAGGTTGTTGGCAAATGAAGCGTAGACTTACAATTTACATTCGGCAAGCAGATCACATTAATAAATGTATTGCATGTACCAGATATGAATAGAAATCTTGGAAGTGATGTTTTGTTGGGAAAACTGGGAATAAAATCCACTTATGAGTCAGGCAAACTAATACTTTCCCGAAATGATGCATTTGTTGAAAAGACTATTCTAATGATGATCAAAATTTGTACTATTGACAATAATATCAATAAAACTACAAATTTAAATTATGTTATTGAGTATATTTCTTTATGACATCATAGAATAGGACATGTTGATTTTTCTACTTTCAAAAGAATTATTAAAACCAGAATGATTTCATGTGAAAACATATAATATAATAAAAATGAATTATGTGTTAAGTCTAAAATGATGAAGAAACTTTTTCATAGTGTTGAAAGAAAATCTAAATGTGAAGTAAATGGAATGTTAACTAGAGGAGGTAATATATACTCCATAATATTCATAGATTTTCATTCTAGAATTTGGCTGATCCGTTCACTAAACTGCACGCAAAGGAATTAGTGCGTACAACAACTAGTAGGATGGGGTTAAAATTCCATAATTAAATCCACCAATGATGGCAATCATACCTGAGTATACTAACAAGCATATTTGCTTAAAGGGTAACAATAAGTCATTCGATAAGTGGGTGTATTCATCACTTTTTAAAAAACTCTATCGTAGGTTACAAGTGTTGGTTGTCAAGAATAGAAGGGATGGGTTTTTTTTTTAACTATGAATAAAGTTCATATTGGTGGATCGAGTATCTCTAAAAGTGACAAAAGTTCTGTAAGAACTTTACCTATATAAATTTCGAGGTAGTGTAGCTTCAATAGAGAGTTAGAGCTTCTTTCTTAAAAGTTTATGAATAAGAGAAGCGCAAGACCATAAAAGCGCTAAACGAGATTGTGTGGAACTGGGAACACTTGCTCGTGTGTATGATTTCACTGGTATCATCACAAGGAATAATAGTTTCAAAGCTTTAATGCTATCTGGGATTTCTATGATTACTTGACGAGATTTATACTAAAGTTGGATTTAAATCGAAAGATATCCATAATCTATACATAAGTGTCGTTAAACTTAAGTTTGTACTCATTTTATATTTGAACAAGTGGTGAATTTTTGGATATTATTCAAATTAACAATGAGTGGTTTTGGAAATAATAAAAGTGGTCAACCATGGGAAAAAAACCAAGTGAAAACAAAACGAGAACAAAAAACAGTGAAAATCGAAAAATGTGGCATGGGCCGCCGCCCAAGCTTGGTTTGGTTACTAGGTCGATGTTGCAATTACTGTGGCCGTTTTGTTGAATAGGGCGCGGTGCCCAGTTTTGTACTAGGCCGTTGCCCCGTACAAAATTTTTCATGTTGGGTTTTGAATTTTGGTATCTTTTTGAAGGGTTTTACACAATTTTGACTTGGTTTTTGCACCTTTTCATGCATGGTGATTGTAATTCTATATATATAAGTGATTTTCATTATTGAAAACATATCACAAATATCAAATTGATTTCATAACATCCAAAATCTAAGGTCGAATCAAATTTTATAATTTTGTTCTTTAGTTCTTTTTTCAAAGTTTTGTTGGCTCGATTCAAACTTGGATTAAGGTTTGTTTACTCCTATAAACTATTCGTCATTTGCCTTCAAGCACTTATCCGGTTGTGACAAATATCGTTTGAGAACAGTAATTCATAATCGTGTTCAAACCTTCCATTTTGGCGATTTCTTGTTGTCGTTTTATTTTTGTTCTTCGTCAACTTTCTCAACACGTTGAAAGAGCCTATTATGGGAGATCGATTAGCCAAGAAGTTAGTCATTAGGCTATGAAAGGAAGCTAACAATTGGATAGCTCGAATTTGAGGGTGAGATTGGTAATAAGGGAAGTTCAGTAGCTCAATCAATAAAGAAGAAATCAAGTTCAATAACAGAAGGATGATTATATTGCCACTACAATATTTTTTAATACGCCACAATTTAATTACAGTTAAACTCCTCAATTTTTGCTCATTGTAATAATTATTTTCTTAATTCTTTTTCGGCGAATTCTTGCCTTCAACCTTCCTACATTTGTACGCCTCGTCCTTGATGATGATTTATACCAAAATATTTTATTTTTATGCTTTGAAACAAAGGAAAAATGTTTTTTCATATTTTCCATTAATTATTTATTTTATATATATGATGAGAAAATAAGTTGTTTTACGCCATCCCAATGATTTTTTGGACATAAAACTATTATCAAATACAAACTATGTTAACTAATAGAAAGTTTGAGGATGAGAATGACATAAAAAACCTTTAGGGATATAAGTTCTATAATGAGCAAAGATTAAAAATCTTAAGTGCAATTAAAAGGTGGTGCAAGAAATAATAATTGTGGAGTGAATATAATTACCTTAACAATAATAGCGACCGATGATCATCTTATAAGGGGCAAGAGCCCAAGATCAAGGTAAGTACAAACATATATTCCAATAATCATTCATATAAACTTCCCCTTTATCCTGATCTTGGATTGAGCTTCGAAGAGCCTATACAAGTAACCCTTTCTGGCATACCATCTCATCTCATGCTTGTCTTTGAGTACAGAAATTAGCTTGAAGCATCACTATTGAAGTCTGGCCAGAAAATACTTGAACAGATGCATTCCTTTTTATCCAAAACATTTGTACATCAGTGCTCAGTGTCAATTCCGATACAAAGAAGGCCGAAGTTATAGCACTTATATCCAGCGCCTCGACACTGACTGAATTGCGTATGAACTTTATTTCTCTTGATGCTCATGGCAACATACGCCTAATTCTGTTTATTACTTGGTTTCAGAAAAAGAGAGAAGAAATATGTGCTTATATCTAGATATATTTATCTTTATTTAAAGACATGCGATCTAGCACCGAACTATAAGCCTATACTTCAAAGGATTAGACTGGAAAATTGTTCTGATTCAATTTCAAGAATAAGATAATATCCTAAAAAGTGCAAATTTCACATATATTTTCTGGAAAAATATTTGTCATATGAGCAACATAGATAACGGCTATCACACACCTCAAAGTGACTCTAATGCAGTTTGTCAACTCTCAATTTCTAGACCAAAATGTTCCTTGAGAATATATTTGGAAACTCTTCCAAATCCCTTCTTCGCTTCTTCCATGTCCTTTAGTTTGGACACTTCCTGCTTTATCTGGTCGATCCTGCTCTGGACAGCATCAAGTACGGTGGTATTTGGATCCTTCAATGATGTGTGTCTTGAGAGGTCAGACCTTTCCTTATCAAGCTGTTGGTAAAGATTAAGGATATAGTTCTTATGAGCAAAAAGCCTTTCCTCCGCAAGTCTATATTCAAAATCCTGCGACTTCCTTAGTGCATGCAGAATTTGATCAATCTCATCCTCAAGTTTTAGTGATTCAACACGATGATCAAACGTCGACGATAAAGGCTGAGGCGATCCAACTTTGTGATCAAGTGGCTCCTCATAATTTCGGAATCCAAATGCACATGTGCCATTTAGAGACAGTCCTACTATTTGTCAACAAGCACAGAAGTCTTTTGAGAAAAATGAACTTGTTTACAGCACAACATAATAACAGTTAGATGGGGAAGGTAAAGAAAACTCAGTGTTGGATAAATTAGCAGCTTTACCAGATAACATGAAGAAAATGAGAGGTGCAAGTCAATACTCCGGTCGCAGTTAAATTACAGTCCATGTCACTGAACTGGAGGACGTATTTCTAAGCTTCTTTTTAAAACGGAAGATGGAATATATGAACAAATTCAGTATATATTATGATGTATTATAAAAGGATATCCACGAATCAGAAATTTTTTCAGTAGCATAGGTAGGACTTCCCTTTTTTTTTTTTTTGAAACAAATTCATCATGTATTTATGACGTGTTACAAAAAGATATCCACGAAAAAGCTTCTTTTTTTTTCCAATAGAATATATACGAGTTTCCTGTTTATTTAAAAAACTCATTTTTTATCATGATGTATTATGAAAAGATATCCATGAATCAGAATTTTTTCAAATAGCACATGTACTAGTTTCCTTCTTTTTTTTTTCCTTTGGTTTTTGGATCATTAAAAGTCTAAAGTAGTACAGGTTACAAACGATACCTTCAGTAACTGCAGTGTCTTCCTTCTTCCAAACATCCTCAAGGTCAGTTCCATTCCTAAGCTGATGTAAATATCGGATTGGTTATGCCCATGGTTTATAGAACCCCTGGAAACATAAAAATATATGAACTTAAAGGAAAAACATGTTCATCGACCATTTTCTCATTGATACCTTTTCCATGGCCATCTCAATATGACGCAGCAACTGCTTTCCATTTGTTTTCTCCGTTCCACGTAAAACACAAATACCAACATTCAGAATCTTCTCAATGTCATCCCGAGAATTAACTGATTTGCACGTTTGTAGAAGCCTTTCAACATGCAAAACGAGATCTGTCCTTGAATCACATCGACGGCAATAGTACTCAGTTTCCAAACCAATGCTTCCTCCGACTGTCCCAGCCATGTAAGCTCGTAGAGCACACTCTATATGTGCACTGTGTCCACAAACATAGCCGTCTAGTTTAGCTTCACATCTAATGTAACTATAGCCTCCAAAGGCCATTTTGATAGTCTTACAACAAAGAATACAACAACAATCCCTGCAGAAGCCAGGTTCACTGCAGCAAATATCACAAAACATGACATCTGAAACAGAATCCTCTGTTGCAGATAAACTTTTGCACACTCTGTTACCAGCCTTACAACACACGCCATCAAACTGAGAGTCGGAACCTGAATGTTCTGCAGTTTCCCTGGGAGGTGTGAACAGCTCTATATCATCTACAAATACAACAAACAAACTTCATAAAGGTCTTAATCCAAGTCACAGTAAGAATAAGCAATCTACCATCACTCGAAATGCTTTATAATATGGTCCTCCATCAGTAGCATTCATACTTCAACTAGCTATTTCAGCAGAAACTCTATTTAAAAAAAAATAAAAAAAATCATCTAGTCATTATGGGCCATCTTGCAAAATTTAAGTAGCGAATCATACTAATATGATATCTAAGTCACTTAACCATCTTGCAAAAGTTTTTATTTCTATCAAAAAATATTCTCTCCAGAACTGGCCTTTGGTAATCCCCAAAGACCCAAATTTGTTGATAGCAAACCATACAGAATGCTTAGAATCATGAAACTGCTAACAATTATAAATTTACGCTAAGAGTAAAAAATAAAAAATATAATAACCAAAATAAAAGCTAACCTTTCATGCATGATTTTGAAGGAATCTTCCAACTAAATGATGCAAAAAATGCGTTAACATCTGCATCAGGGAAGTTTTTTCGGATATACTGTTCAAGAGAGAGTTTGCTTGCAAAACCAGTTTTACGTCCGCCCTCCCTGAGACGCGCGGGGGTATACATGTATCTATCCAAAAAATATCCAGAAGCAGCAATTCGTCCCCCAACCTTCCAGCTCCACTTATCACCAGGATAAGGCCAATCTTCCGGAGCATATGGAAGACCTTCACCAGAATCGTAAAGAGAAACAGGATAGAGGGGCATGCCATTTTCCTTCAGCAGACATGAGCTGCCTTTAGTTACACTAGTACTGTCAATGTCCATAGACTCGCGTGTTGACAGGTCACTAAAAATGTCAAACTCTGTATAAAGCAATAGAAAAATCATAAAAAAAAATTGGTCTTTATGTGAAAGCTTTTGTTTATATCATCTAAGTATTGGTCTTTATAATATAGCATTGAGAACATGAATATACTTAAATCCTTTGAAACAGGAAGTAACCAAAAGGGAAACATTCAGAGCACTCTGCAAAAATAAACTGAACAGGTTACAGTGACAAGCTGGTTTACAACAAAGATGGTATCGAAGCAATTATATGCATATTAGAAATTCTTCTTAGACATGAATCACTGATAATGCAGCAGTTCCTCATATATCATTAACCCATAATAACATTGAAAAAAATTAAGGTGCAAGTACTAAACAACAAAATCCATCCTTCAGCCAAGAAATGAGAAGCACCTAAATATCAATTGGAATGACTTTGAATCAAAGATGAGATCTCATGGTGTGAAGTGGGCATCTGTAAAACCTTAGGAGTATATGTTCCCGTAAGTAAATAGGAAAAAGTTCCCTTTCCTGCACATTCAGAACTAGAAGCCACGCAGCTAATCATATCATATGTAACTTTCTTGCTTGCTTTCGGATGAGAAATTCTGTTAGTCTATTAAAAATGTAACTCAGCCGATTTTATTATAGCCAGAAGAAATTTTTTAGTCAGCCCGATCAAGATCAATTGTCCGGACTGTTCTTTTTCTCTACCTCCCCCTCTTTACTATTTTTAAAATTTGTTCTTTTTCACCTAATTTGACAAGAGTTCAAGCCTCCCGTCTTTACTATTTTTAAAATGTATCCTTCCCCGCCTAATTTAAAACAAGCACACATGCCTAAGCCATACACCTCCCAGAAATGTAGTCTTACTCTGAGAATTGCACAGTTTAGGGTTTCTGAAAATGGCACCAATCCCCAATCTGCAAAAATAAAAGATCCTTTCACATAAGAAACCAAAAAACGATCAATGGTATCAAAAAATTAATTTAAATCAAACAAATCTGTCAGTGGCTCTCGAATTCAATGTTTGTCCTTTTCGGAAATCACGCCTCTTATTACCGTAATTCATTCTAGGAGAAACTTACTGAAAAACAGTAAACAACATAAATTAAGAAAAAATTGAAAACTCGATGCAAAAGGTATTTTCGAGTTATAAAAAAAATCAACTATGTGTTCCATTCAATTGAATAAAATAAAAAAAAATATGCGAATTGTATATAAATGTTTATGTGCATCCAGTGAATTGTGAATACCATTCAGAAACCCTAAGAAGAAGATATGAAAGGGGGTTTGAAGGTGGCAAACGGTAATTTTTATTCATTGTATTTGGAAAAGAATTTAGATTAAGGAAAAGTTCATACCAAATGACAACACTCGGTTTTCAAATGACCAGTTTGCCACAGTTCGCCTGCATTCACCTTGGGTCTTTCTTTTGTTCAATCGGTTTGAGATACGCTGAATTCAGCTTGATATTAGGGGCTGTTTGTGAGTCTTGGGGTATGGTTGAGACCTTATTAAGGTATCAATTTTAAGTGTTTATGATTGGATTGATTCTGAATAATCTTTAAACCATCCAAATATTGGTGTCAAAATTTTTTTGCAAACACCGGCTTTTACACCCCACTCATAAACGGTGTCATCCAAAATCGGTTAAAAAAAAAAAAAAAACACTCCCAAGCAAGCCTTAGGATAGAGAAAAATATTATGTTTGCGTCGCCATTAAGGGGTAGGATTCAGGGTACCTTCCACAACTCTTACTTTGTATTTTATTTTCTTTTTCTTATAATTCAATTTTTATTTAAAATAAATAATATTATTAAAAAGTAAGTAAATCAAAATAATTTAATCACTTCCTACCTAAGACTCCCAAACGTCCTCGATGAGACGAGGACGGGAAAGCCTCTTGTTGATCTCAAAAAATGAGTCAACGGATACTGGGTCCACTCTCGTCATGTCAAGCAAATTTTAGTGCATTTCTACCGGAGAAGCGGTAAGAAAAGAGGTTGACTTGAACGTAGGAATTGATTTACGGCGAAATACAAAGATGTTCGAACTCCGACGGGTGAAATAGAGATGATCATGCTAACAATGATCACCAACTCAGAACAAAAGCCACTAACAAAGGATCTCGCTAGAATATGTGGAAGGATAGAAAACAATTAAGTATGTAAATCATGAGATTGTCTATTAATATATTTCTCTACCAAGTGTGGCTCGTCTTCTAAGCTTCTGGGCCTCCTCTTTTTTAGAGGGCAATACTTGGACCTTGATGAAGGATATCATTGGCTTCATCCATAAGGGAGTGTCTTTGACCCACATTATCACTTCGCCAGTGGCAATGGAGGGTCTGGGTTCTATGGGCACCACAGTGAGTAGTTTTGAATTTTTGCTGCTCTCTAAGTTTGATAGGGCGTCGACATGGACATTTTTCATGCATGGGATTAGTACGAGCTCGAATCTTTCAAAAGTGGGGATGAATTCCATAACCAATTTCAAGTACGCAACCATTGACTTATCTCTAGCTAAAAAATTGTCATGTACCTGACTTACTACCAGCTGAGAATCGCTAGTGTTAATAAGTCTCTTTGCTTGCATTTCTCTGGCTAGTCTAAGGCCAGCGATGTGGGCTTCATATTCTACTGCATTATTGGTGGCTTTGAAACTGAACCATATGGCACAAGTAAGCTTATGTCCCTCAGAACTGACAAGGACCACGCTTGCTCCTGAACCTGTTTCCCCAGATGATCCATCCACATAGAGGCTCCATGTTGGAGGTTCGATAGGCTCCATCTCTTCTTCCATTTCTGGAATATGAGTGAATTTGGCCACAAAGTCTGTAAGGGCATACCCCTTGCTGGCAGTCATTGGCTTAAACGTGATGTCAGATTCATTGAGTTCCACAGCCCATTTTAATAATCTCCCCTAAGCATCAGGCTTCTGTAGCACTTGCTTGAGGGAGAAATTTGTCAACACCTAAATCGTGTGAGCCAAGAAATATGACCTCAATTTTCGAGAAGCTGTCATCAAGGAGAGGGCTAGCTTTTTCATGTCGGGTAGCGAGTCTTTGCTGCCAAAAATGCTTTACTCACATAGTAGACTGGCAGCTGATGATCATTTTCCTCCCTTATCAAAACCGAGCTGATGGTATCAATGGTATTGCTAAATATAACTGCAGTAGCTCGTTGGTCATGGGCTTGGAGAGGAGAGGAGCTTGTCCCAAGTGCTTCTTCAGCTCCTGGAAGGCTTCCTCACATTCCTCTATCTATTGGAACTTCCTTCCTCCTTTGAGAATTTTAAAGATAGGAATGCACTTGTCCGTTGCCTTAGAGATGAAGCGATTTAAGGCAGCTACACGTCCGTTGAGGCTCTGTACTTCTTCCAATTTCTGAAGTGACCTCATGTCAGTTAAAGCTTTAACCTTTTTAGGGTTAGTTTCAATGCTTCTTTGGTTGACAAAGTAGTCCAAAAACTTTCCAGAAGCAATTCCAAAGGCACATTTTACAAGATTGATCTTCATCCAGTATCTCCCCAAGATTTGAAATGTTTCATTAAGGTTCTTAACATGATCCCTTGCCTTTAAGCTCTTCACTAGCATGTCGTCTACGTAAACCTCCATGATTTTTCCAATTCGATCAGTGAATGTTTTGTTGATAAGTCTTTGGTGGGTGGCCCCGGCGTTTTTCAACCCGAAAGGCATGACCTTATAACAATAAAAACCCTTGTCTGTGATGAAGGAAGTATGTTCCTCATCTGTTGAGAACATTGGGATCTGGTTGTACACGGAATATGCGTCCACGAAGCTTAAAAGTTCATGTCCGTCAGTTGAATCCACAAGTTGGTCTATCCTAGGAAGTGGGAAATTATCTTTAGGTCAAAACTCGAAGTTTTCAAGAATGCTAATACCGAATTCGTGAAAAGCAAAGTGGTTTTTCCCACAAGTGTTTGCCTTTTATAGGCAGGGCCTCTTAATCCTAGCCGTTGGGTGATGATCCAGCTCATCTGACCAATCATTTGAAAATAAAATCTGAGCCGCTCAACACGTCTATCGCTTCGTCTTCTGCGGCTCAGATTAGAGCTCTACTCCACGGGCCTTTGTGCGCTAAAGTTTGCAAAGCACTTGGGAGACAGCCATCATTGTGCATTCAATACGGCGACGGTTGTGTGCATAGGAAATTGAACCGCTTCAGCAGTTTTTCTTGAAAACGTACCGTGACAACAAATCATTTGTATGCAATAACTAAGGATGCCTCATGTTCCTCAAACATGCTAACTGAGACCAAGTAAGGGCCAACCCATCCCTTTTCATCCAGTTCAGACAAAGCTTCTGCTTTGCAAAACACTTCAAGCAAGACAACCTCGGAATTCCCATGCTTTGTTGACCCTTCCCCAAATTGTTTTAGAAAGAGAAATACATCTAAGTATACGAATTCAAAATAATACTGTTAGGAGGTCTGCACAAGTCAGGCACATTGGAGATATTATGGTATGATGTAAACCACCCATTACTAAAAATTTTATTTACATTCAAATTCATACGTTACATAAATAAACATGCCTAAATTTGGGGGACTATTGTTACACCTCGACATCGAAGCTTAAAGTTAAAGTGCCAAGAAGCAATCCACGTGGGCAGAGAATCAACAAAAAAGTCAACAAAGACCCAGATGGTCAAAATGCAAAGAAATTATGCAAATTACCGAAGCTGTATCGAGGCATTGCCTCAATTAAAGAAACACTAGGGCTGAAACACTGCCTAAAGAAACGAAGATAATATTCGGGACCAACTCCGAGACCAACTCTGGGACCAACTCCGAGGCTCTCAGTTCATTCGAAGCTCATAAGTCGACGCTGTCTCTTACAATATCTTTGAGTATCTTTTAGAAGTGAATGATGTAACACTTGTAATAAAAGATGTCAACCTATTGTATAGGGCG